ATGGAGGTTCTAGCCAGACAACTAAACAGCACAAAGAAATAAAAGGCATCCAGACTAGAAAGAAAGAAAGAAAATTATTTCTATTCACAGATGGCATGATCTTGGACACAGAAACTCCTAAGGAATCCATTATTATAACTAATAAATAGGGGTGCCCGGGTGGCTCAGTTGATTGAGCACCTGACTTCGGCTCAGGTCATGTCACAGCTTATGGGTTCGAGCCCCGCATCAGGCTCTGTGCTGACAGCTCAGAGCCTGGAGCCTGCTTCAGATTCTGTGTCTCCCTCTCTCTCTGCACCTCCCCCACTTGCGCTCTCTCTCTTTCAAAAATAAGTATTAAAAAAAAATTTTAAGGAAGAAATAAGCTCAGCAAGGTTGCAGGATTCAAGACCAATATATAAAAATTAATCGTTTTTCTATACACTTGACATGAAAATTGACAAGTAAAATTAAGAAAACTCCATTCAAAAAAAAACAACTCTAGAATGCTATCAGAAAGTATACAATACCTAGGAATAAATTTAATAAAATCATAAAACTTACACTGTGGAATCATACACAAAAATTGTTGAAAAAAACTAAAGACCTAAATAAATGAAATCTTATGCTTTATGGACTGGAAGACCTAACTAACATTGCTAACATGGTAATACAACCCAATCTGATCTATAGATTCAGTGCAATCCTATCATAATCCCAGTTGACTTCTTTATACAAACTGGTAAATGGATGCTAAAATTCACATGGAATTGCAAAGGACCCAAAATAGCCAAAAAAATCCTGAAAAAGTATAGAGTAGCAGGGCTTACACTTCCCAATTTCAGAACTTACTACAATGCAACAATGATCAAGATAGTGTAGTACTAGCACAAGGAATATCAATGGAATAGAATTGAGAGTTCAGAAATAAATCCATACATCTATGATCAACTGATGTTTCAATAAGAGTACCAAGACCATTCAATGGGAAAAAGTACCCTTTGAAACAAACCGTGATAGGACAACTGGATAGCCACGCGCAAAAGAATTAAGTTGGACCTTTACTTCATACCACACACAAAAATTGACTTAAAATGGATCAAAGGATCTAACAAGTAAAATAGCAGAATTTTCATGATCTTGGATTTGGTAATGAATTTTCAGATATGACACCAGAAGCATAAGCAAGAACAATAACAACAACAAAATAGACTGAACTTCATCAAAATTTAAAACTCTTGTGCTTCACAGGACACCATCAAGAATGTGAAAGACAACCCATGGAATGGGAGATAATATTTGCAAGTCATATATCTGATAAGGAAATTGTATCTAGAATATACAAAGAACTCTTACAAATTAATAAAAAGATAAATTACCCCTTTTTAATGTAAGCAAAGGATCTGAACTGACAATCTTCCAAAGAATATGCACAAATTGCTCAAAGTATATTAAAAGATGTTGGACATCATTAGTCATCAGAGAAATGCAAATCAAAAGCACAATAAAATACCATCTCCCTACCGCTAGGATGAGAATCAAAAAGCCAGATAGGGGCGCCTGGGTGGCTCAGTCAGTTAAGCGTCTGACTCTTGATTTTGGCTCAGGTCATGATCTCATGGTTTGGGAGATGGAGCCCAGCATCAGGCTCTGTACTGACAGCAAGGAGCCTGCTTAGGATTCTCTCTCTGCCCCTCCACCAATCATGCTCTCGCTCTCCCTCTCTCAAAATAAATAAATATTTTTTTAAAAAAGCCCAATAATAAGGGTTGTCAAGAATGTGAAGAAATTGGGACCCTCCCACCCTATTGGAAGGAATGCATAATGGCCCAGCTGCTATGGAAAACAGTCTGGCAGCTCCTCAAATGATTAAATATATAGAATTATTACATGATCCAGCAATTCCACTCCTAGGCAAATACCAACAAAAATGAAAACATATGTCCATGCAGAAACATGTACATGAATGTTATATATGGAGATACAGACTGCTTGTTTGGTCTTCCCCAATTTCTGGATTGTTCCTGACCAAAGGAGAAAGTTCATTAGGAGAACCCCAGCTACAAGTGGGATGTGTAATAACTGTAGTCCCACTCTCACACCTTCTTCTTACAACTTTCCCAACCCGTCCATTCCATGTAATTAGAATTCTGCCACATTTTTAGGTAGGAATTCTGCATACCCTGCAGACCAAAGTCCATCTTTCCTCAGGCTGAGTTCCTAACATCCTCCCAAATTTATACCAATCCCATTGACCAGCTCATGTATTCTTCCAAGTGTTGAATGAAGACCTATGAAAAAATATGATAGGAACTGCACTGCATTTACCAACTAAACTTTGACAGTCTAGGAGTCCTATGTGCCAATCAAACTGAGTGTTTCATAATTCCAAGACACAAATACTTTATGCCACTTTAGAACTTTGTGGTTACACATAGAACTCCCTCCACTTGATATGCCCACTGTCTACTACTCTTCCCAGCATCACCTTCATATTTATTATTCCTCTGTGAAATGACTCAAGAATTAGTAGCCTCTGTCTCTGCTCTTCTGGGCAGCAGACCAGTAGCTAAGAGCATAATCTCTGGAATCAGCATGATTGAGTTCAAACTTCACTCTTCCACTTAAATGTATGACCTTGGCAGGTTTCTTAACCACTCTGCCTTGGTTTTCTCATCTTTTGAAAGGGTGTATAATTCTTCCCAGGGTCATTATAAGGGTTAAATGAAATCATTTATAACATGTAATATGCTTCCCCAGCACTGTTCTATTACTTGTATCTCAATCTATTGATGGTATCATATTTGTGTACCTGCATCTTCCCCTAGAAGTCCCTGAGTTTAGAGGTGTTAAGTTTCTTATTTCTTTTCATATTCATAGCATTTAATACAGTGCTAGGCAGGATAGGTAGCTATGAAAGGGACCAATGAATGAAAAATAAAAACTACTAGTCCAGCAAAGTCAGTGATAATGGAAACTGTGCTTTCAATATAAAAATCAGAGCACATGGTTTATGAGTAAACTAGAATCGAGTATCTGGAATGAGGCCTGCTCTGGAAAATCCAGGCTATCTGACCACCAGAATGATCTAGAAAGTATCCAAATGTTCAGCAGCTAAACTATTATATAAATGATAACATTAAAACACAGAGGATTTTACATAACCATAACAGGAGTCCTCTATTGACACCTGAAAAAGTACGGACAAAACACTAAGAAAAACAGAGCAGAAGAGTATGCATGGAAGGATTACAGAGATGTTCAAAGAAAGATAATCAAAGACAACAGACTGTGTGTGTATCTAATACCACAGATGAAAGAATCTTTATATTTTTAAATTTTTTATTCCAAAGACAACTTAATACAAAAAGAAAATAATGCTTACAATGCCTTTACCTAAGAAACAAGATGAATGAAATGGAGATTCCAAAAATTTTAATCCTTTAAATAAGACACAGTAAGAAGAGTCAAGTTTCTCCATTACTATAACTCTGACTAGATAAGTTTCCTGATAAGAAAAAAATCCATATGTTCTCCTATGGTCAATTCTCTTATATCATAAGTAAACTTTTAAGGCCAGTAATCTGTTTTGTTCATGTCTGGGACAATTAACAGTTTGATTAAATTAACTAGTTAAAGTTCTTCCTAAGTATGTCTTCTTATGATACAATTAAAAAATGACATCTAAAATGTATATATTTGTCCACAAAGAATAAAGGTCTTCAGCAAGTTTTTCATCAATTTTTACCCCCAATAGTTCCTCTCAAAATTACAGCCCAACTCAGAAAAGGGAACTAATATACTTGCTCAAAGAACAGATCATATTTTTCACTTTAATCAGTTTACTTTATAATACATACTCACACAGATATATGCACATGTATATATACACATCTATATATACACCAGAGGAAAATTAAATAATGAATCCACCTTTTCAGTTATCCTCACACAAGTTAATAAAATACTGCCAGCAATAGGACTCTCAAAGAACCTGGTGATGATGACTACTCTAACTTGATTCTAACAAACCAAATAGATACCTCCATCCTTCTTTGACATCAACAATCCTTAGATTAACATGAGGAATGGAGACAAGTAAAAAATGTGGGTGGGAATTTACTCCAAATATTTTCTCTTCAAAAAAGCAAAGAAAGGCTAGGCGCCTGGGTGGCTCACTCAGTTGAGCCTCCGACTTCAGCTCAGGTCATGATCCAGCTAGCAGGTTATGAGTTCAAGTCCCACATCAGGCTGGGGCTCCCTGCTGTCAGTGCAGGACCCACTTAGGATCCTCTGTCCCCCTCTCTCTGCCCCTCTTCCTTTCATGCTCCCCCACATTCAGGCATACTCTCTCTCTCTCTCAAAAAAAAAATAAACATTAAAAAAAAAAAAAGCAAAGAAAGGCATTATCCCTGAATATCACTGAACAAACATCCTTCCTTAAAAGCGCAGTTCAAAAGTCTGAACACAATAAACTTAAAACTTGTTTCTAATTTTTGAATAAGAATTTATCCTCACCCACTTCATAAATTCTCTTGCCCAAAAAGCAATCTGTCAACACATGTAGTTTAAATCATTAACTACACAGCACCAAATCATTAGTATAATCAGCATGTAAATTTCATGAAGGCACTGATTGTGTCCTTTTACGTACTTTATACAACATCCAGTACAAGGAAGCTTATTAAACATTTATGATGTTTAATAAAAATAAAATGCCAAAACAAAAGTCTTTATTATTCAATTTGGCTGTCATGTATAATATAACCACTGATCAGTATCCATTTCTCCAAGTGTAATTATAAGAAATCGAAAACAAACCCTATTCAAATTAGAAATTCTCCGTCTCCTCTGTCCAAGAACATGGTTTCATTGCTGTGTCAGAAATAAACTAGCAGGCCACCAGCAGAGAACATAAAACATACAGATTGTTGGGGTATTTAACCTAAGCATTTAAGCACCATCTACAAAGCAAAAAGCCTACTACATTTCATGCACTTTTTTGGAGATATTTTCCTTACCTTTCCCATTTTGCCACGTGGTATACCAAGATAAAGTAAGGAACGAAGTGATAAATGCTAAAACAGTAGCTACAGTTCCATTTCGGAGCCTCATCTCATTTCACCATCACAATGGTTCATATGTTTATGATGGTAACCAAAACTGTTTTCTTTTAATCGTGAAGTCAACTGAATCCAGTACTCCTGGCTCTGGGCCAATAAAAACAATCAATAAGAGAGGTTCATTTCAGATGCTCTGCAGAACAAGCCTAGCAGCAACACCATTCATAATTGCTATTCAGGATGGTCTTCAGTCTTCATAGGCTGATGTCTCAGGCTTCTTTCTTCCTATTCAGGGAAAAAAAAGAAAGAAAAACTTGTTCAATAATGCAAAATATTAGTTTCTTCATTTATTATTCACCATTATAAATAGACTTTTGGTTGGGCTAAACTCTACCTACAAAGATTATCCTCACATCTAAACAACTCATTTAATATACTAGAATTATGTGGTTTTTCTCCTCCAGGAAAGAAAGTAATGGTTCAGGGCGCCTGGGTGGCTCAGTTGGTTAAGCATCTGACTTCAGCTCAGGTCATGATCTTGTGGTTCTTGAGTTCAAGCCCTGGGTCAGGCTCTGTGCTAACAGCCTGGAACCTGGAGCCTGCTTTACATGCTGTGTCTCCCTCTCGCTCTCTGCCCCTCCCCCATTCATGCTCGCTCTCACTCGCTCTCTCTCAAGAATAAACATTAAATTTTTTTAATTAAAAAAAAAAAGAAAGTAATGGTTCATTATTTAAAGGGGGAAGTTATGAGACTTGTTAAACAAATAGTAAGCCAAAGATTCCAAGCTGATAACTCCAAAGATCACACAACAGTTCTAAGTAGCATAACTGTCGCTCTCCTTAGATTTCCTATTGCAAAGTAATAGTTAACGTTTTAAAAATATTAAGAAAAAACGACAGACTACAATATGCAAACATCAAAAAAACCTGAGCTCTAGATACAGCAACATCATTACTTATATGACTTCCAGTGTGCACTTATCTAGGCCTCGCAGTTTCATCCATAAAGTGAGAAAAAAGCCTCTCCTGGCTCCTCCTCTAGGACACACATAATGTTATAAATAACAGGTTATAGTTATTACTGCTATTTATCATAATCATGAAATAAGTGTAGTTTTTCCAGTAACTAACCTACTCCTAAGGTGTAAACTGGGAATACTCAGGCATTTAGAAAATGCAGCATCCAACCAGCACACTGTATCACCTAGGACCATCAGTTAGCATTGTTTTAACTCAGAAAATCTGGAGATCACCACCCATCTAACAAAGCTGTTGAGAAAATCAAATTAAATCAAGTCCTTATAAGCACTTAAGCATATCACCCAGCACTTAATAGGTTCTCCATAAAAGTTAACTGTGTAAAAATAAAAACAAACAAACAAAACACTGCAGCCAGCCACTGGTTTAGTCTACTCTACGCACAGCCAGTGTCATTCCCTTGGGAGCATGTCAGGCACTCTAAGATGTGCATTGATTCCCAGTGGCCTCAAAGGGACCACAAGATGCACTTGGAAATATACTAAGGCATACTCTAGTGGGTTGAGTTAATGCACCTCCAAAAATGCCGAACAAGCCCAAGGGACAATTTCCTCAGCAAGAAAGTATGGCTGATTAAAGTGGCCATTTGTAGGCAATTCAGAAACTACCATCTGAGCTACTTTGTAAAACTGAACATTACTAGAAATCTCCACTGGTCTAGAGCATAGTACTAATGGTATCAATGATAAGACACTACAACTCACCAAGTGTTTCCTATGCATCTATTATATGCTTTAAATCTTCACAAAACCCTATGAGGGAGGCATTTTTTTAACTGAAGTATAATTGACACACACAAGGTTATACTGTTTCAGGTTTAATGAGACAGGCATTACTAACCCTATTTTACACACAAGAGAAATGAACTCAGAGAAAGAACCCTAATTTGTAGTACTCCAAAGTTCAAGCTCTGACCTACTACCCTTTCCCTCTCAAACTAGGTGACCAGCAGCTTGGAAGAATGAAGAGAAGGGCTGGGGACACTCAAAGTCTAGAGACCCTTCCTGAGGCATTATCTTTAACTGTGTGAATTTAAAATATTTTCTATACTATAACAAATATTGATCTATTATGAAAAAAGATGAAAATTTCATAGGAAATTTCCAAATTTAAAACCTGAAACTTTAAAAGAATTTCTCACTTCCTGTAACCTTTGGCTAAGCACCCCTCCCCCCATCCCACATACACACCCAGCATGCCTTTTAACTTTCCTTGGCCAGTAGATCTCTCACTATAGTATAATATTCTAGAAGCACTGAACTCTACTTTCTTGCTTCCTATTACTATCTGAAAACAAGGAACTCCAAAGGTATTCTCACAAGTTATCAGTATTTTTTAAAACCAAAGTTATTCACCTTCTATAGTTAAGACAAATGAACGTCAAACACACCCACATTTAATGGTTTAGAATTTAAAACCTTTGTGGCATTATCTTATATCAGTAAGCACACAATGAGTTCTGATTATAAAAAGAGATATGATAACTCAGTGAATTATATAATGTAGAATTATAATCCTGGTGTGACATTATATAAAAATGCATATAACTTTCTGTTGTTATATACTTAGCCCTACCCCTACTTCAGGAAGGATTTTGTCCTGGTAAAAGATCTAAAAATATACAGGTTATTAAACATCCAATTAATAATTATGGGGAAGTAAAGAAAGACTCCTAAAATAAAGGATATTTTTAAATAGTTTTATTAAATACAAAGTAAGCCCATATGATAAAACTCAGTATAAATACGTAGAGACAGTAAAAGTAAATGACTTCTAAAATCAAAGTAGACTACAGATATACTATTAATAACGTGTGAAAAATATATGGAATATTAAATATTTGATCCAGGAAGCTATTAAGCTCTGGTTTGAAGAAGATACTTATCAATTCTACTAACAAATAAGACCTGAAATTCTGCAGGAGAAATGTAAGAGCATTTTACTCAGTATGAATGTAGTCATACATTTTAATTAGAGTTTCCACACCAACGAAGTTTAACTGCACAGTGTAAGTGAAGACTCCACAAAAACAAAACTAATGATCTCCACGGTCTTCAACCAGAAGAGGCAGTCACAGGCTGGACAGCCAAGAGCCCTATGAATTGACCAACTGCCTAAGGCAAGAAACAAAGTGACGCCTATTCTTTATCGATGTCCACATTTGCAAAAATGTTAATCTAACACCTTAATCTCTGAGATTATTACTTAACATATCTGAATCTTGAAAAACAAAAAAGGAAGTGGCTAAAATTACTAATATCTTCTTCACCCTGACAAAGATGAATGGAACTTCAACTCTAGATCTCAAACTGAAAAGTCTGTTTTAGTTAACTTCCCTTTAAGGGCTGCAGTCCTGTATTTTATTATTAGATTCAAGAAACTGTATTTTAAAGTGTTCTCTTAAATATTCACTATGTTTTATGGGTGAGAACACTTTGCTGAACACTTGGCATATTCCCTAATAATCCCACAGACAGGACAGAGGTGCCTGAGGAATGAAAGGCAGAAGCATGAAATCCATAATGCTTCTATATAACTATAACCTATATAACTTTATACACAGTATTATGGAAAAATTAATTTATTTTAAATTTATAAAATGATTAATATTTTTCATCAATACAGCTTACATAATTTCATCATCCAGTGCGTTTTCAGATTTACAAGTGTGGGCTAAAGAAACCTCTGCCATGATAACCTGTTAATAAAACTATTTTTTTAACATTCAGAAAGACCAAACCAAAAAACGCATTATTATTTGATTCTAAATTTAGGTTCTAAATTCCAACGAACGTTGTTGTCATTATTTTTTATGAGAATTCGTCCGACGGCAAAAGCACAACAGCAAAATACATGGGAAGCATTAAAAACATACATTATGTCTGCTTATATTTCGCAATTCGGATTATAAGCAATGAATGGGCTCCAGAGAAACACACGCTTCGAGAAATAAAAGCGGGCGCGCAAGTGGTATGACTGCCAGCTCATAAAACACGCCTTGGAGGTGTCACCTGGTACACTCTGTGCAATCACCCAGACCCAACCTAAGGGTCCCACTTGCAGCTTCCTCCTTCAGGGGGAACTGGGGCCTGAGGGGATGGGGGTACTCTTTCATACCGGACCCCCGCATCTTCACTTTGTAGAAATATTCAGTACGACAGCTGCACGCCTCCTCCGCCACGGCGGGAGCAGCCCTTGCCTCAGTCAGTGCCCGGGACCTCCTGGCCCCCGCCTCACCTGCCCCCGGCCCGGCGAAGGCGCCGACTCCGGGACCGGTGTGGGCCCTGGGACTGCCAGGTCCCGCGGGCAACTCTCCCTTCTCCCCAGTACCCCCCAAGCCCACACTTTCCTCCACTTTGCCCCAAAGTCAACGAGCCCCGCCGCGCCGGGAAACGCACCAGGCGCCCTGCCGGCCACCGGGAGAGAGCACGGCACCGAGGGTCTGTAGCAGAGGCAGCGGTGGCGCGGGGCTGACCGCGCGGCCAGGGCGTCCCGGCCCGCGCCCCGCCCCGAGGCCCAGCCCGCGCCCGGAGCCGGCCCCGCAGCAGCCTGAGACGCGCGAGCTCCGGGTCGGGCCGCGGCGCGGGCGGCTCCGTTACCAGCAGGTGGATCTTCCGCGACCCCAGCGT